AAAAAAAAAAAAAAAAAAAAAAAAAAAAAAAAGAAGAGGGGTGGAGAAAAAAGGGAAAAAAAGCCTGCGTCACTTCTGGGTGGTGTCGCGCATCTGATCGATTCCTAAACTGAGGGATGGAACCGTGGAAGTCAGGAAATTCTGGCACCATGCCACATGGGATTGAGGCAAACTTACCTTAAAAGGCTTGATGGCGGCAATTTTTGACCAATCAAGAGTTTGTTAACGTAGGGGGCGGAGCAATGACTGCCTATCTGAGACTAGCTCAAGGTAAATAGCGAGCTTACCATGATTTCCTGCGAAGTTCGAGGCTCCCGAGGCTTATAGTTGTTCGGACAAGCCGTGGCTTATCTATATCTACTTGAAAGATACAGGTGCTTAGCTGCAAAGCATTGAAGAATGAGCGCAGTATTATTTAAATCTCTTGTGTCTCCATTTGTCTCATTATGGTATGATAAAACTTATAGTGTAATAGCTCCGTTCTATTTCCATTTAAAATGCTAACCGTAGAAAAGGGTATCAACCATGCAAAACCGTGCTGGATATCAAAATTGTAAGTCGTTGACGTCGAGTCGTAGATCCTGTGGAAGGGCATAAGCTCTCTCGATGGGTGGATGAGCTGCAGCCTCAAGATCCACGAGCCCACGGCCACATTCCATTTATCAGACGGGGGTCTGTTCATCAGGCGTCTCGGGCTTGATTCGATTAATCTCAAATCCGCCCTCATCTTTGTCCTCGCCCTTCTGTGGCCACATAATTTGCCGTAAGACGATGGCTCGAATCATCATGTAAAAGACGAAGACATACATTAGTATGAGAGGAAAAATCATGGCACAGCCTATGATCAGAATCGGCTTGCATGAGAAAGCGTTCCCAATGGCGAACGTGGCGGTGATCAAGGCAGTGTTAGGGAAGACAAATGAGAACCACGCCATTGAAAAATTCATTCGGCCAGGGCCAATGGTTGACCAGTGAGCAAAAGTGGCAATAAAGAAGAAAAATATCGCCAGGCTAGGTAAATGTCAGTCGATCTGCTGAAGTATGGAATGATCATGGAGACTCACCCCCAGAGCCACAGACAAGCGAAATTGACAACCACTTCGAGAATGTTTGCAGCCAGGGCGCCGTTGCCCATAAAGTCATCGGGAAAGCTTCGCTTTGCATGGGCAGCCATGGTCACAAGTCCTGAGACAGTGAAGGCACTGGGACCAACAGAGACAAACATGCCGGGACGCACATTTTCCCTAGGCAATTTCTGACTAAAAAGTCTGTAGACATAGGCCGAGTAAACGGTAAGGGTTACTAGGAACCCTATTCCCTGTATAGTTGTTCCCCCAATGATTATAGGTAAGGCCCGAGAGGGTTCAAGTTTTGCACTTAAGATCCCTGCATGGGGACCTATTATCAACATAGGGTACGCCGGGAAGATCCATATAGGTGTCATCTGGGCTATTGTGAACGTCTGAGTCGACCACCTAAGGCAAGGTGAGCATTCAATACCCTTTGTATAATGAGGAAGAGAAATGTCACATACAGCAGCAGGTAGATACCGGCAGAGAAGATCACTGCAAGAGCAGCATCGATCCAGAATAACACACCGACGGCATAACTTAGCCAAGGTCCTGTAGCCTCTGGACCGTACTGAGAAATATTGATCAAGATTGTTCCAAATGAGACCATAGATGCAGGCACAAACAATGATTCTGTTGGATGCGTAAGTGATAATCTGAAGGTATATGGATGTAGGTAGAATCGCAGCAGCAGAATACACCATATTGTAATGTATAGTGCAATGTTAAACAAGAAGACTATGATGCCGATCGTTTCAAGGCCGCGGAATTTATAAGGAACTATTTCTCAAGTCAGCATCCAGGGCGGGAAACGCAAATACTGCAAGCTTACCGTTATACAAGGCATTTGCGATACCACCAGTGCTCATTGAAAGAGTAAAAAAGGCCCAAGTAAAGTGCCTGATTCGTTTCTTCCAGCTCAGAGACGCAGCTGAAGCGTCAGTGTCTCTGCGAGAGAGCGGGACACTCTCATTGTCGTACTTGTAAAACGAATGATTGTGCAGTGCTTCTAACGCGGAAGATCGAGCCTGTTGGATTGCCCTTCCAGTCGTTGGGGGGGGGTAGTGACAACTCATTGCTATGCAGCACACGCTCTTCCTCTGTCATTGCAATTGCGCCCACGACTGTAGGATCATGTTTTGAAGCTCAGGTATCTGCACTTCCGCTGGAAGCATAGGACTTGGGTCTACTTGTGCTTGAATTCTCAGCTATGCTTGCCTAAAGAGACGGAGACAAACTGTATGTTCTCACAAGGCAAGACGAAAACTGGGCGAAAGAAAAAAGATGTGTGCAGTGATGAAGGCCAGGATTTAGCTGATCGGCAATTGGGCAAAGAAATCGTCCATGCTTCGGTCTAAAGGCCATATCTAGCCAGTGAAAGCCCTCCGTGGGAATTGAAACACATCGACATCCCGATCGAAGCGAATAGAGGTAAACTGGTGTATGGACCCGTCGGGTACCGGCACACAAGCATTTGATGGTGGGGAAGAGACCGATCGAATCAAATCATATGTCATTCCCTTAATCCAAAAGAATACCTGAAAGGTAGCAATCATCTTTGGTATGAGTGGACCGTTGTCATTAAATTGCACCCCAGACGATGTCCAAAGTACTGATTCAGACCAGCGCTGCCAAGAACAACGAGTAGAACAGTGGATGCCTGAATGGCGGAAAGTGTTGGTGCCCCGCGCTGATCTGATATGTCATATGGATGGCCTTGTTTTGATGAGCTGCACTTTGTGCGTCATACCTGGAGGGAAACAATTCTCCTATAGCACCTTTTTACAAATTACTGCAGATAATGGAGGGTACTCAATAGGGTCAGAGATAAAAGTTGCGCAATCAATGTTTTGTCGGTACCATCCCAGCAAACTTGGACATCTGCGCTACAGCCGAAGTACCTAGGGAATAATACAAGTACTTCATACCTAAAAGGCTAAAAGCTTTCCAGAGCAGAATGTATATCAGCTCTTATCCATACAGTAGGAAAATATCGATGGCCAATACTGTTTGTCTCTCTTGAAACACATGATGGACTGATATAAGAGGTTTATTATTGCAGAACAACCTATACAATTCACGACAAACGGAACTTACCTTATCGAAAAGCTCTCCGAAATCCACTGAGATCGTCTAGGTAACCATGACTATTCGTGGCACGTTATATAGTTAATGATCGCCCTGGTCATGCAAACATAGGACTTTGATGGTACCTCGTAAGTGGTAAGGAATCTGTATTTATTATTATCATCAAGGCGATCGAGAATATACCTATGGATGCAGACCCCCGGAGCATGCAAACTACCTTAGGTACACTTCCCAGGTAGCTAATTGGTCCAGATTATATGTGGGGGGAGCTCATGCTTCTGCCGAGGTTTCAGTTGATTCGCTCTTCAGTAGATAGGGAGTAGCCTGCATCTTCATACCTCGACAAATCCGCCGTATTTTATAAGCTACCTTAGTCTTCTTAATTTCTTCAGACTTCCGAATCGATAGTCCTGAGTGTTCTCTGATTCTTCACTTGCCTTAGTGCATTTGGATTGAGTGATAGAAATGACAACTGCGCGAGGTGACCGCAAGTCTGTGTTGATCACTGGGTAAACAAGCATTTCGTTGTATTCAGAATTTCAATCGTTTCGATGCACGCGGCTAATTGCTTTTGTGATCTGAACTAGGTGCTCTCCCGGTGGAATAGGCAATGCACTCGCCCGCGAGTTTCATCGCAATGGTTTGCGCGTATTTGCAACGGCGCGAGACGCAACGAACATCGATGATCTAGCAGCCCTGGGTATCGAGACGCTAGACTTGGTGGTGGACGACGACGAAAGTGTCAAAACCTGCTGCTCCGAAGTTGAAAAAAGACTTGGGGACAAGGGACTTGATTTTCTTGTTAACAATGCGTATTCTTCTCCCTCTTGACTTTGCTGGAACAGTTGACCTGGATGCTGATACCTGCATGGCTAGGGGCCGAAGTACGTTATCAAATTGGCCCTAGTTTTCGCAGTTCGTCATTTACACAGGGAGAGTATTTACTCACGTATGACAGACTACACTGTTCCAGCTACTGAGATAGACCTTGGGGAAGCCCGGAAAACTTTCGAAACCAACTTCTTCGCGGTCATCTCTATATGCCAGGCCTTCTTGCCATTGCTGATTAAGTCAAAGGGCACTATTGTGATGATTGGTAGTGTGGCTGGGGTTAGTCAATTCTCCTCACTATATGCCATTTTTCTGGTCCTGACAGTCTCCCTCTTTGTCAAGATCATACCTTATGTGTTCGGGTCGGTCTACAACGCCTCAAAAGCCGCGCTGCATTCGTTCAGCGACACGCTGCGGGTGGAACTTGCTCCCTTCGGGTATGCTAATGTGTTTCTCCATATTACGCCTTGTCACTGATGCTGAACCCCTTCCAGCGTAAATGTCACAACTGTCATCACTGGGGGTGTACAATCCCGCATTGCTCGTACTAAGCGAACTCTCCAGCCGAACTCCCTGTTCACTCCTATCGAAGACGAATACGCACGCCGTGTGACGCACAGTCAGGATGGCGCGATGCCACATACTGCATATGCGCGAAGCGTTGTAGCGCAGGTCTTGTACGGATCAGCGCCATGGCGCTGGTTATGGCCCTGGGCGCAAGGACGAAAGAGTTGGATCTGGGAAGGCAACAAGAGCTGGCTGATATGGCTCCTATGTGGCGGTTGGGCTTGGACGGGTCTATTTCATGGCGCCATGACGCGGATGTTCAAGCTCTACAAGTTGAAAAATGCCATAGGGAAGTAGAAGCAAAGGATCGTTGCTCGGCTCTCTAGTCTAGAAGTACCCAACAGGTGTTCCACCACGAAAACAATATTTGTGCGTCTGACAGAATCATAGAAGTATAGACGTTAAATGCAGCGGTGACTGGAGACGACCGGCAAACTGAATTATCATTTCTCGCTTTCTTTTGGTACTAGTGACGACAAGGCTAGCAAACTACGGGTCTCGGCAAGCAGCTGTGGACGGGGAAGAAGTTATAACAGCATTCCGTGATATTCGCGTCGCCCGCAATATGCACCCGATTAGTCATCTATACACGCACGCTGGTTGGCTCCATCAGGTGACCGGGTGTAATGCAGACGAAGCGCAATATTGTTCCGACAAGCGCAGCCGTGAAAAAGCAGTGAAAGCTGTTCCCTTTCCCGAGATCTCAACAGTGGATAATCCGCCCCTTCTTGTCAACAATCACCTTGGAGGCTCCGTTCTTCCTCTCTTGTGCTCTTATCTGTTTTTTTGAAATTCTCCCCTCTTTGATAAATTATTTTCATCATGTTCAAGCTCGCGCGCAGCAGCCGTCCTGTCGCTGCAGCTATCAGAGCTGCGACGGTGAGATATTTCCCTGTGCTATTTCGATAATATTACATGGTACCATATCTATTAGCATCAAATTGAGCTTGCTGACATTGCGATTTTGGTAGGAATCTTCCGTCCAATCCAGATTGGCTCAGCAACAGAGAAACCTGTCCATTCACGAATACCTCTCTGCCAGACTTCTCAAGTCCGTATGTTGTCGGAAACGTTCACTCGATATTCCGCAGATCTAAAATGACTGACCGGATGACAGTATGGCGTGGGAGTTCCCAAGGGTGAGGTCGCCCACTCGGCGGAGGAAGCTGAGGCTGTCGCCAAGTCAATCGGTATATATGAGCCCTTAACGAACAAGCTGGACCGCAGTTTACTGAGACAACACTTTAGGGAACGATGACATGGTGATCAAGGCTCAGGTTCTTGCTGGTGGCCGTGGTAAGGGTTCCTTCGACAATGGTCTTAAGGGAGGTGTGCGCGTTATCTACTCGTGAGTGATTCCCCTAAAATATCATTGTTTTCGCCTACGACCTGTCCTCTTGTTGACATTATTTTTCTCCAGCCCAACCGAGGCCAAGATGTTCGCTAGCCAGATGATCGGACACAAGCTCATCACCAAGCAGACTGGTGCTGCTGGTCGCCTTTGCAACGCTGTCTACATTTGCGAGCGCAAGTTCGCTCGTCGTGAATTCTACCTTGCCGTCCTCATGGACCGCGCAACTCAGTCCCCCGTCATTGTTGCCTCGTCGCAAGGTGGTATGGATATCGAGGCAGTTGCCAAGGAACACCCCGAGGCTATTATGACGACTCCTATTGACATCAAGGTTGGCGTGACTGATGACATTGCCCGCAAGATTGCTACCGATCTTGGCTTCTCTGAGCAGTGCATCGAGGATGCCAAGACAACCATCCAGAACCTGTACAAGGTCTTCATGGAGAAGGATGCTACTCAGATTGAGATCAACCCTCTGTCTGAGACATCTGACCACCAGGTTCTGGCTATGGACGCCAAGCTGAACTTTGATGACAACGCTGAGTTCAGACAGAAGGAGGTCTTCTCGTGGAGAGACACTACTCAGGAAGACGCCGATGAGGTCAAGGCTGCTGAGTACGTCCCGATGGCCCAGTTTATAACCCACACAATTTCTGTTCTAACTTGGACGACAGGTACGGCTTGAACTTCATCAAGCTGGATGGTGACATTGGATGCCTGGGTACGACCTGACAACACTTACCTTCCTGCGCTCATGCTGACCGCTTCTTTAGTCAACGGTGCTGGTCTCGCCATGGCTACGATGGATATCATCAAGCTCAATGGCGGAAGCCCCGCCAACTTCCTTGATGTTGGTGGTGGTGCTACCCCCGCCGCTATCAAGTCTGCTTTTGAGCTCATCACCAGCGACCCCAAGGTCACTGCCATCTTCGTTAACATCTTCGGTGGTATCGTCCGCTGCGATGCTATCGCCCAGGGTTTGATCAATGTCGTGGAGGATATGGGTCTGCGCATCCCCATCGTTGCTCGGTTGCAGGGTACCAACATGGAGCAGGCTCAGAAGCTGGTACGTGGCCAACCAGTTTGCGTTCACAAACTACGAAAATCGCCATGAAATGCTAATGTGGGATTTATAGATTAACGAGTCCGGTCTTAAGATCTTCTCCATTGAAGACCTCCAGAGCGCCGCCGAGAAGTCCGTCCAGTTCTCCAAGGTCGTCAAGATGGCCCGTGAGATTGACGTCGGTGTGGAGTTCACCCTTGGTATCTAAACTCCGTCAGTTTGAGATAGTCCAGCATGTGTCATCGCCTAATGTTTCATCTTTCTGTCTTCTCTTTCATGATTTCCCTTTTTACCTTCCTTTGATCACATGGGTGATGACATGGTTGGAAATACCAAATGGACTACCGGGGACCTCAATTCGCAGCCCTCGTGATACTACTGTTAATGGATGGTCAGCGATACGGATGCCGAATTGCGAGGCGCGCGAGTCGGTCAGGATATGTTGGTAAAATGGGCTAGTATAATAGTGAAAATCCGCACAGTACGGGGAAGGCAGGGTGGCATAATCATAGAGAGCATTGATGGTTCTGTATATCGTCCATATCTATTCTTTTTTCCTTTTCCTTTCCTTTTGTCAATGTATTTCTTGTTGATTCAGTATTCTATCGATCCAATATCTATTCCTCTAAACGCCTCAGCTGTCGAACCAAACAAAGCTCAAGACCTTCTAATTAATGAGTGTTTCTATTGGTCATAAAGATAGGTGCATCATCCTCAATTCCATTAAAGGCACCATCTTCAGTTGTCCGAGATTTGGAAAGGAATAGCACATAAGGGCTGCGCGGCTTCATCGAAACACCACGCGCTCACGCCACCCCTATTGACCAACAAAACACAATCATGATCTCCCTTGAGCACATATTCGTCGGCATCATGATGACCAGGATCGACCGCCCACGGAGAAGGCATAGACTTGGCTGGCCGGTAAGGAACATGCGCGCCTGGTTGCGAAATCCAGATGGTGGGCATGGCTCGCTCAACCCTGATATAGTACAAGAGGTTGCGGTCGATAGGTGCAACGTGTAAGTGGGAGGAGGATGTGTGCTCCGGAGGTAAGAGATGCAAGAAAACCTCTTCCGTCTCGATATAGTGGGTAATGGCGATAATATAGTGCGGGTGGTGATCTTTACTACCCTTGGGGCGGGCTATTAGGATTCCCGCTCTGTCGTTGAATTGTTCTGAGAGCCAGGCATTTGGCCGGACTACCCAGTCGCTGTTCTCTAGCTTTGGCAGGGTCAGGATTTTCGATGCGGTTTGAGGAGCTTCCAACGAATCATCAAAGCAATGCTTCACGACCTGCAACTGTGCGGCATTGCACGGAACCCCTTCGAGATCCCATGGGCCATCAACGTTGTCATTCCGTTGTAGATGGACGGAGATCAAGCAATCCAGCGTAGAATGTAAGTCTATAAACACTAAGTGATCTGCCACGACTAAGGTGCGGGAGACGCGCGTGTTGAAGTCCCATTGCATGATAACAGTGTTTCCAGCCGCGGGATCCTTGAAGCCGAAAGCAACCTTGGTGCCGCGGACAACGAAGAGGTGGAATAGGCGGGACGGCAGTCGAAAGTATGCTGGCTCCTCCGTTCGGAGATTCCAGACATGGCAGTATCTAAAACCGTTCCATGAGTAAGAGAGTACTAAAAATTAGCTTGATCTGCCTACCCACGTAGAGTGACCACCGCAACGACCAACTCCGAAAGACGAATGTGGCCAATGCGTTCTCTGTTTTCCGTGCAAAACATCTGCATAGCATGCGAACGCAGATCTTGCACGACGACCGTGGTCATTTCGCCAGTCCATGCATACCGTCCATTCGAATAGTCTAGACATGCTGGGCTAATATTGCTGGGCTCGCGCCGACGGAGGGCTGAAGAAGGTTCTCCTCGCTCCAGTCTGATCCTCTGCTTGGCATACTGGTTGTAAATGTGATGAGATATCTGATGACAGAAATTGAGGGTGCGGCCTGAATACCGACGGTATACAGCGCCGCGGACCGGGTTAGATGACAGTAGCTTGTGCCAAGTTCTAGAGACCTGATAATGTGAGTTTCACCATTCATGGTCACAAGACGTTGACATGTATTGCCTACTCTCTGCAAAACATGGATTTCCGCTAGGTCTAGATACTGGGCGACTTGCACAGCAATCTCGGGGGGAAGCAACCCTAGGATATCACACTGGAAGGTTCGTGTATTGAGATGATCCCTCAAGTCACGCCATTCATCAGAGGCTAGCTGGTGGATGAGTCCATGGAACCTGGGATTGGTGATTAGTGTCAGTCAATGAGTTCAAAAATATGTATTATCGTGAAAAGGCTTTTGTTGAGAAATCCCATACACTCTGTGTCGCGCGGACTTAGTCCTGAGATTTCGGAGGCGAGTGATGATCTCCTGTTCTTCCGAGTTCGGATCTACACATTCCATAGTGGCGGGGATATCGTTTTCCAGCATCTGCGAACCATCGTTGTCGTCCTTTGTAAGGGGGAAGAAGCATCTACAATGACTTCAGGTATCTGACGCACTGTGGGAGGGTTGAGGCTCCCAAAGAAGGAGCGAAGGTGTTGATAAGGAAGGAATCAGCTGAGCTACCTTAGTTGATTCGCCGTCATGTTTACCTATGTATAAAAGACCCAGACGGTGTCTACAACAATTCGATTGAAATGCCTTGACGGCGGTATATATTTGGATAGAGTATATTCTAACTGGATATGGGGTATCCAGCTATGATCTAACGTTCTCTGCTACATATGTACGCAGTATAATACTCTACATTATGATTAGCAGAGGCAGTACCAAACGACAGAAATGGGTATCTAGATGGATGATAGTAAAATCCACCTAGGTAGATAACTAAGGTTAAGATGATGATAGTCGGATGTTGAAACCTCTGCATCCAGACTATTGAATCTAGTATTAATTTACGGGGCATGGTTAGACTATGTACACCAGATCTATCCCAATACCCAATATCTACCTCTCTAGTTTGCGGCCTGAATATGTACTCCGCATCTATCTATCTCCTCGGCATCAAAAGTACAATGGCTTTTAAGTACACCGAGCTACAGAGGACAACCTTGTCTATTACTGATTTCCTCCTGGTAATCCATCATCATTGCTATTATTTACTTCTTAATCAGTAGAGAACAACTCATCAAGTTACAGATACCTTTTGCGTAGGTAGTCTTGTCTCTCCTAGTTATGGATTACATCTCTCTCCTCCTCCTAGATCATAATATATCATACTCCGTATTACTCCCCCCTTTTCGCCTCCCCCTCATCACTAGTCGCAATATATCTTCTTCTTTACCTACGCCACTCTTCCTTGCACCCAACCAATTGTTGTTCCATATCCGCGGTTCCGTGCAGATTCCAGAGCCCAGACTACTGCTTACCTGCTTACTTTAGTAACAGACTACTGGATTTAGTAGGACTGTGGCAGGTAAGCCAGCTATCGACTACTGGGTTCCCCAAACCTCCATCTGCACCTTAAACTCCTATCATTACTAACTATTCTGTTGGTATCACCAACTATAGTCTATCTATAATTGTCTTATGTTATATTGTTTATTATATTCGAGATAATCCTTTATCCGAACTCTCGTTTCAGAATTTCCTCAACCGCAATTTTCATCTTTGGCTTCTCTCGCATTCTCTCTCTCTGTGCTCTGAGGAACTAATTTCCCCTTTTTCTTCGCTCCTCAAGACATATACAGAGAGGATATTCCAATAAACCTCCACAGGCACTCTACAGCAGAAACGAAAAGGGAAGACGTGAAGGGGGAAAAAAAAAAAAAAAAAGAAAGAAAGAAGGAAATCGTGCGATTTGAACGACAAGGAGCCTACATATCGGCTGTTCCCGTGCCTCCGTTGGTCATTTCCCGAGCTCCTAGACCGGATGTCAGAAACCGGACCCATGATAGTCAGCTTCAACTACTAGGTATCTACTAGCAGCTATCTGGTTATCTGCAGATCCGATCTTTTAACGCGCCTCGTCCGCGACACATTCCTGCCCTTCCACGGCTCGTCCCTCTTGCCCCTCTCGTCGATTTCATGCTGGCACCTCATTCCGAGACTAGATTGGAACGAGTGGAGAACATAGGGGCAAAGAGGAGCTTTGGACTGGTCTAAGACTCCTCACACCCATAGAGTCTGGTGGGCGACAAAAATTCTTGAACTGTCGCTGCTTGGTAAATCGACGCGCGAGAGGGAAAAGAAAAAGAAAAAGGAAAGAGAAATCAAAGTCACATTCTATCTACAGGATCTTCGCTTCGCAATGACTCTAGAAGCGGAGACTCTATGGTATTGATCAGCGCCTTCTTGGCCCAGGCTCTTTGATTCTTTGTATCCACTTTCCCACGTTCTCCAGTCCTCCACGAGCCGCCGACATCTGGAAGAGAGGAAAAAAGACACTACGTGATCGTTCCATCTCTTCGTTGACGCTTCGCATTTTCAGTTCAAGTGGTTTCTTCCAAGATCCGCTCTGCACAGGCTTGCTTCCTCCCCTCTGCGGCTTGGCCGTCGTCGTTCCTTTCGCGCGAGATGAGCAGCCTCGCCGATCCTCCGTCTCGAAATACTTTTACTGCCGGTTCTGCAGATGCGCCAGGCAAGACACGAAAGCTCCCCGTCCTTCCCTCCTCTATTCCATCCTCCGCTCAGTCGACAGGTGACTCCATGGAGGTCACTCCACCTGCCTCTACGACGACAGGCCCTGCGCCGCCCGCCCACAGCAGTCCAGACAGCGATCGGGTGGGCGCAAACACCGCGAATTCCAATGGTTCGGTCGAAACTGGAAACATGAACAATACTCCAATGTCAAATCAAGCAATCGGGGCTGCAGCCGCAGCGCAGCAGCCAAAAGTCGTTCAGACCGCTTTCATTCATAAACTGTACAAGTATGTTTGCTCAGATTCCGTTCGCTCTCTCGGATGTCTCAAACCCTTCCTTGTCTTATACTTACAATCTGCACCTTTACGTGTGATCCCTTGCTGATGCCACTTAAAACAGTATGCTTGAGGATCCTAGTATTCAACATCTAATATCGTGGTCGAACACCAACGACAGCTTTGTCATGTCGCCAACATCCGAGTTCTCAAAAGTTCTCGCGTCAGTTCCTCCTCTTGGAAGCGATTCGCATATTGTAGCCTGATTGCTGATGTTTGCCTCATTAGTCAATATTTCAAGCACACTAATATCTCGTCTTTCGTTCGACAGCTCAATATGTACGGTTTTCATAAAGGTATATGATTTTCGAAGGGGGTGTGAAGGTTTTCGTGCTTTTGCTGACCCTTTGCCTCTTCTTACAGTGAGCGATGTCTTTCACACCGGCTCTCCAGACTCTGCATTATGGGAGTTCAAACACGGGAATGGGAATTTTAAACGGGGCGACCTCGTAGGGTTGCGCGAAATCAAGCGCCGAGCATCACGACATGCCTTGATCCATCGCGACTCATTTCCCGGCCACAAGACCGCTGTTTCTCAACCTGGCACGCCGGCCGAGCCCGTCCCAGATGCGACTGAAGCGCGATTGCTTAATTTGGAACATTCGCTGTATGACATGCATACCCGTTTAAGTCGCGCTGAAGAGGCACATTCAGCTCTCAACTCAAGATGTCAAGCCATGGCGGAGAGTTTGGGCAGATGTTATCATGTTCGTCGACCCTTTTGACTTTCATCGAGGCGCCTGCTATGTCTGACACTGGAGCACTGACGGGATCTCAGTGGGCGTATTCGATTTCTCAATTCCTACAAGGAACGATTCCTGATCGAGATAGTCCTCTGTACCGGGACGGTGAGCATCACTCCAAAAAACAACATTACCATGATCACTTCCGCTAACTCACCACAGTATCCAGCATGCAGAAAGAGATAGAGAAACATGTCGACGTCGTGCGAGCCCTCGAAAATCCTCCGGACCCATATTTATCTGTCAGGCCACCATTTTTTGCCAATGTGTCGGTTGATCCTGGGCCGCCTCTTTCCCCACGCCAGGTGCCCCAAGATGATAGCCGTCGACCATCGATGATGGATACGTCTAGGCATAACATAATCCGACCACCCGTGCCCCCGCATCTTGCTGTCTCTCCTCGCCGGTATGGCTCAATTGGTGGGGGAAATTCATCCCCGAACTATAATCGGCCGCAGGTGCCCTCTGTAGTCCCACCTCAACAGCCGATGCCTCATCCTCTGTCTTCGGTATCTTCTCCGCCGGGACCCAATCTTGCTCGTCGACACACTTCGGCAGACATCCGTCAGCATGGCTGGCCACCGCCGAATGTTTCCCAGTTTCCCCCTGCTAATGCACAAGGCGCTCCAGTCACACCTTGGCCACCCTCACCCCATCGTACACCGACTTCTAGTGAGCAGCAGGTTCGAGATGTTCTCGCTCAGTATGAGATGGGAGTGCCGCGGCGGTTTCAAAGCAGTTCGCGACATGCTACGCCGCCTTTGAATCCGGACCAGCCGTCATCCACTCTAACTGTGGACAACGCATTCACATATGGTGGTTCGAAGTATGCTAGGCATGAATCCTCGCTTCCTGCCACCAGACGATCCAGCATGGCCAGCAACGTCCACTCGCTCCTCAACCCCGCTGATACAGCGGAACGTCCTGAAGAGGATCAACATAACAACCTCGAAGATCGGAAACGAAAGCGGTTAGAATAAAAAGAAAAAAAAAACGAAACGAAAAAAAAAGAAGAAGAAAAGAAATGGTGTGAGACCGGTATACGCGCTCAATTGCAATGTCTAACCGAACCGCCAATGTAAGGCGCAAGTCATATGTTGAGCATGAGAACATCAGCATCTGTTCGCCGTCTTGCAGCAACAGCGATACTCGCAAACCTCTTGAAGAAGCACCATCTGCATATTTGAGCCATGTATCACTGCCACATATTCCGATCACATTGGGATCTCACCCGCGTTCTTTGATCTTTCTTTTTCTTTCATCCCATATAACTTGTACAATCTCTCCAGGAAAAGCGCGGGTTTTCCAGGACAGTTGGAGGCCACGCTCTGTTTTATTTTGTCTTCTACGTCTAATTTGGAGGGCGCAGCCTTCATTTCGCAGCATACCTGCTGGAAGTCGTTGTATGTCCGGTTCTGTTGATATCATACCTGACCATGCAGATCGATGATGACTGCCTTCTTGCCACAGTATTGGTGTTTGCACTTATTGGGAACTTGGATCAGGCAGGTTCGGTTTCCGCATATCATACTTACTATATACCCTGGGGCTGGGTGGGGCAGACCATGTTTATTTTTGAGCACAAGCTAGATCTACAATAGGAGCCTACAATCTAATGCAATTGTGTCCGTGTGCTTGAAATCGGTGACAGAATATTGTCTGCAGCTTTGCCCATCTCTCGGATGTTGGTCAGGAACTCGTGAGACCAATTCGAGAGTATGGCGAACTATAAGGATTAGGT